ACTACTACTACTACCACTACTACTACTACTACTACTACTACTGCTACTACTAATAGCGTGGTGCGAATTCCTGAACGCCCCTTGAAAGAATCGAATTTAGGTTTGGGGAATTGAAGGACGACGGCCCCGAAAATCAGCCCTCCTTCCAGAATCCCGAGAAACCCATGAGCATCCAAAAGTCCACCTGGAGAACCATCTGCTGTCCTCGAACATCAACCCTTTTGCCAGAGAACAATCCCCTTGCAGCTGAGAGGGGGCTGTGAACCCTCGACCCAGGATCAGCAATGCCAAAACGAACAGACAGGCATCCCAGAGGGGAAGGGAGAGGGAGGGAGGACAACACGCTACATCGGAAGGGGCATGCACAAGATGGTCCCAAAACTGGACAAGTCGCACCTAAGCTGGTTCGACTCAAATTCGTCGGATGATCTCCACAGAACCATTGCAACGAAGCTGGCCAGGAGACGACCGCATGAACCCCCAGCGGGCCTCCAACAGGCCGCCCAGTAGGCCCCAAGGGCCCCCCTCCAAACAAGTCCTTCACGAGGAAGTAGGGGGAGGGGGGGGACAGGACCGGAGGAGAAGGAGAAAGAAGGAGTAGCCTAATAAAGGGGATAAAGCTGAGGACACGGACCAGACCCGCGCCAGGTCAGACACAGCATTGAAACTGAAACGGAGCTTAAACTCAACTCGACATCCCTCCTGCTGTGCTGCTTCGCTGCTCCGCTGGCACGGGTGGCGGGGATTGCCCCAGGCAGCCGGATAATGCTGGCAGAAACCGATGAAGACTGGGTCGCCAACCTTGGCAAGCAGGTTGTCCGTGCCAACGATGTGCAGCGACTGTACACCCCTGTCCTGCAGTTCCTGCATCGCCGGGGAAGCCGCCAGAGCCCTCAAGACCTCCCCGGGGCCGCCAGGGGCGCGCGCAAACTGGCCGCCCAAGCTCTGAGGCAAGAGGTGGCCGCTTTCGTGCATGACGGGGTAGTCTGGCTGCTCGAAAAATTTCACGTCGTGGCTGGGCAGCCCGAAGAAGCAGTTGCTCCTGAAGTGCTCCACCACCATCTGGTGCGTCAGACGGGAGGTCATCACGAACACGGGGATCTGCGCAGCGGTCTTCCTCTTGCCTTCCGTGGCGGCCAGTTCCTTGAGACGCCTGACTCGCTCGCAGAGCAGCTGCAGGATGCTCTTGCCGCTGGGAAGCTTCAGAACTCTGCCAGAGCAGCTCACCGGAAGCTCGCTGCCGCCAAAGCGCAGGCCGGCCCCGCCCGCCAGCAACACCACCGCCACCCTTCCCAGGTGCAGCGCCTGCAGGCCAGCCTTCCGCAAGCTCTTGCGCATGTCGGCGGGCATCGTCTCGGACGCGAAGACCTGGCCGGCGCTGAAGGAGGGGTTGGCGAGCAGCTCCTGCTGATGAGGCTTCGGGCTGCGCACAAACAGGCCCCCATAGGCGGCCCCCGCTGGCCTCAACAGGCCCTCAGAGTAGCCCAGGGCGATCTCAGCACCCCGACCCTGGGGCGCGGAGAGCCCCAGGGGCGCCGCCAGAGGCGGCGCCAGGGTGTTGAGACCGCCCCTGGCTACTCGGGAAACCTGTTGAGGCCAGCGGGGGCTCCTGGGGGGCCTGCCTGCGCGCAACCCGAAGCCTCGCCAGCTCCTGCCACCCCACGGGGACCGGAGGCACGTAGACGCTGTCGTCCGGCGCGGTTGCGTCGACGTGCCGCTCCACCAGCTGCGAGAGGTGGCAGCGCTGCAGGCTGCGGAAGAAAGCCCTCATGGGGAAGGCAACAAAAATACTCATACCGCTACTCCACGGAACTCTCTCGGGGTGCGTTCTGACAAGGATCTCGAGGCGAATCCAGCCGTGGCGACGAGGGCCTCCCAGGCGGCCCCAAAAAGGCGAAAACGTGGCAGTGTAGCGGCACCGGTATCTGATCCGCCTCTACAAGCATCGTTTCACCAGATCCCCACCCGCACCAGCGTGGGCTAGGCCCCACTGGATGGGGACATTGGCTGCTCTCTTCGGCTTTCGAGGGACATCTCCCCAGCTGAGGTGGCGAGACGGCGGGGCTCGAGATGTGGCCGGGGATGGGGGATGGGGAGCGGTGAAACGATGCCGACCCTGACCTCTGGGCATCGTCGGACAGCCACGGCCCGCACCGCAGCACGCCCCACTGCTGCAGCTGCCACAGCGAGTCCGCGAGCTCCCGCGGGCACCCGCGCAGCAGCCGCTGGGCGTCCGCGGGCGGGGGCGGCAGCGGCGGACTCGCACGCCGCCAGCGTCGGCGCCCGCTGCTGCCCGAGCCGCCCTCGTGGGCGCCGACGCCCTCGACCAGGAGGCTCTCCAGGCCCTCCTCTGGGCATCGCTTGCCCGCTCCCCATCCCCTGGGGTGGCCGTGGGCCCACTGACCGATGCACCCCCCAGATAAGGATCGATATTCATGTCAGTTGTCGTGTCTCTCTGTGTACATACCTACATATCTATATAGCTACATTCAAACAAACTTACATGCATAGATACAGACAGGCATACATACAGACGTACATGCATTACATGCATGCATGCATGCATGCATGCATGCATGCATACATACATGCATGCATGCATACATACATACTTACATACATACATACATACATACATACATGCATGCATGCATGCATGCATGCATGCATGCATGCAACATACATACCCACACACATACATACATACATACATACATACATTACATTACATTAGATTACATTACATTACATTACATTACATTAGATTACATTACAATACATTGCATACATACATAGATACATACATAGAATCATATATACATACATACATACATACATACATACATATATACATACATACATACATGCATACATACATTACATTACATTACATTACATTACAATACCTTACATTACATTACATTACATTACATTACATTCCATTCCATTACATTACATTACATTACATTACATTACATACATACATACATACATACGTACATGCATACATCCATACGTACATGTATACATACAGACATACATCATAAATACATGCATGCAACATACATACATACATACATACATACATGCATGCATACACACATACATACAACCATACACAGAGGCATACAAAAAACGTACGTACATGCATGCAGACATACATACATACATACATACATGCATACAGGCATGCATATACACATGCATACACATACATACATACATACATACATACATACATACATACATACATACAGACATGCATACATACATACGTACCTACATACGTACAAACATACATACATACAGACATACATACATACATACAATAAATACATCCGTACATACATACACACATACATACATGCATACATACATGCATACACGCACATATACATACGCATACAGGCATACACACATGCAAACATACATATGAGCATACATACCTACATACATGCATGCGTATGCACATACATACATACATGTCTACACACCCACACCTCTGAATATCTACATACATACATGCATACATATGTATATATACATACATACAGACAAACATACATAGATCCATGCATCCATACATCCATCCATACATACAAATACATCTATGCATACATAGATGCCTTCCTGTCTGCCTGCCTGCATGCATGCATACATACATACAGACATACATGCAGACATGCAGACAGACATGCGTACGTACATACATGCATGCATCCATACACGTACATGTCTGTATACACATAAAAGAAAGTGCATACATTTATATATATATATATGTATGTATACGACTATAGCTGCACTAATACCATCGATTCCCCTGTTCATGGAACACGAACTTGGGACAACTTCGGGCCTGGCCGGGGAAGGGGAAGCTGATTCCGGAGCGCCCCAGGAGGGCACAAGACAGCCCGAGATGGCCCCAAGACGGCCCTGGAGGGCCCCGAGAGGCCTCAGGCGGGCCCGACGAGCGCCACAAGACGGCCGCGATGGGCCCAAGATGGGCCCAAGATGGCCACTCGACGGTCAACGGGCCCCCAGATGGCCCAGGGGGCCCGAAGACGACTCCCAAAAAGCCCCTGGAAGGCTAAAATCATGTTTTAGGTTCAGGTGCCATCTTCTCATACTGGGCTTCTCGGTCTCCTGAGCGCTCGAGATGGCCGAAGAGGCCCCCGAGATCGCTCCAAGAAGGCCCAATAGAAGCCCACGAGGGCCCCAAGACGATCCCAGGACGGCCCAAGACGGGCCCAAGACGGCCCAAGACGGGCCCAAGACGGCCCCAAGACGCTCCAAGAGAGCCCTCAAAGCGGATCCAGACGGCGCAAGAAAGCTCCAAGACAAACAACAAAAAGAAACAAAGAATCAAAAAATAAAAAACAAAGAAAAAAAACGTGTTAATAAAAAAGAATAAAAGAAAAGGCAAAAAAAACAAAAAAAAAGACAAAAAAAAAAAAAAAGAAAAAACGAAAGAAAAAAAAAACGTAAAAAAGAAAAATCATAAGAAAAAAACAAAATAAAAAAAAAAAACAAAAAAACAAAACAAAAATAAAACAGAAAAAAAAAAAAAAAAAAACAAAAACACGCCAAACAGGCCCGAAACCGAGACGCTCCAGGACGCCCCAAGAGGCCCAAGACTGTCCAGAGAGACCAGAGACCCCGAGGGCCTCACCAGCGGCCCAGGAGCCACCCGAACAGCGAAAACGGCTGAAGAGACCCTAAGAGGGCCCGCTAGGCTCTGCATTAGCATGGCGCGGTCAAAAGCGAACACACACCACACACACACACACACACACACACTGACACACACACATATATATACACACATATATACATACACATAAACAGTTATACTTATTCATTTCCAATTACACATAAACGCAGGCATATATATATATATATATATACATAACCACACGTGTATCTATATATATATATATATATATATATGTAAAGCCATATAAACAAACATACATACTTACAGGCAGACAGGCAGGCAGACAGACAGGCAGGCAGGCAGACAGACAGACAGACATGCATATATACAACCAAGCATCCAGACAGGCATGCATGCATGCATGCATGCAGACATACATGCATGCATGCATGCAGGCATGCATACATGCATGCATACAGACATACGTACAGACAGACGGACAGACAGACACCCCGACATATATGTACAACCACATACATACATACGTACATACGTACATACATGCATACATGCATACATACACGTGTACAAACATACATGCATGCGTGCATACATACATACAGGCACGCATGCATACACACACATACATGCATACATATGTAGACCTGCATGCATACATACGTACATACTCATACAAACGTATACACGTACACATTCATACAATCACACACACACTGACATACATGCAAACAAACAAGCGTGCATCTATATATACGTACCAACGTACGTACACGCGTACATATATACATACGTAGATACGTGCATACCTACATACACAGATGCATCGATCCAAACACCCATACGTCAAAACATCAATGCATCCATACACCCGCGCATTCATATATTCATACACACCGTCATACATACACACATGCATACATACATGCAAACACATGTGCATACATACATGCATGCATGCATACATATAGATCTATACATACATACATACATACATACGTACGTACGTACATACATACATACATACATATGTATACCATCTATACATATATATACAAGCATACGTACACAGGTACACTCGTACACACGTACATGCGTACATACGTAACACGCACATGCGTACATGCGTACATACGTACATACGTACATGCGTACATACGTACATAATCACAAACGTACATACGTACGTACGTACGTAAGTATAAACATACGTACATACATACATACATACATAGAGACAGACAGACATACATACATGCATAACTATGATACCAGAGAAAAAGCACGAACCATAGTCTTTTAGGGCTGTAGGGCTGTAGGGTTATAGGGCTATATAACGCTATAGGGCTATACGGGCTATTGGGATATAGGGCTATAGGGCTATAGGGCTGTAGGAGGGCTATTGGGCTATAGGGCTATGTGGCTACAGGGCTATGTGGCTATAGGGCTATGGGGCGATGGAGCACCAGGGCAGCCGGGCACCCGGGCATCCTGGGGCACCTCTGGGCACCCCAGGGCACCTCCGGGCACCCCTGGGCAACTCCGGGCACCTGCGGGCACCTGCGGGCACCTCCGGGCACCCCTGGGCACCCGGGCACCCCCGGGCACCCGGGCACCCCCGGGCACCCGGGCACCCGGGCGTGCGGCGAAAATCGGCGGCAAACCTAACCTAATCATATGAATCCGCTAGGACCCCTATAGAGGCAAGCTCTGATTGGGAACATACATGCATATAGCCCCTTTCAAATTTGAGTATTGGCCCGAAGCCCTGCGACCACCCCCTGGAACGGACCCCCCAGATCCTTGGTGCTGGCGGCATTCTAGACTCTCCTGCAGAAGCCTTCCCACGACGTCCGGGCCTCCTGGACGTCACTACCAAGCCTAGCCAGCGGGCCCAGAGCGGCCATGAGGGCGCCCGTGTCCGGGTTTTCTCGGAGGCCCTTCTGGACCGTCTTGGAGCCCTTGTGGGCTGTCTCGGAGGGCTCTGGCCGTCGTGGGGCTCTTCTGGGGGCTTTTTGGGGCTGCTTGGAGCCTTTCTTGGGAGCCTCTTGGGGGCGTCTTGGGCCGTCTCAGGGCTCTCTTGGGCCGTCTTCGGGCTATCTTGGGCCGACGTGGGGATCTCTTGGGCTGTCTTGGGGCCCTCTTGGGCCTTTTTGGTGGCCTCTGGATCCGTTTTGGGGCGATTTAGGGTGCCTCTTGAACCGTTCTGGAGCCTTGGAAGACCAAAAAACTAGTATAGCTAAAACATGTGCGCGTCCCCTAAGGAATGGAACGATTCTAGCTTGTTTGGCGTTCACTTGGGATTCTGCGGGCCGTCTTGGGGGGGCCTTTTGGACCGTCTTCGGGCTACTTGGCGGCGTTTTGGGAGTCTCTTGAACTGTCCTGGAGCCATCTGAGGCCGTCTGGGAGCGCTCTTGGGCCGACTTGAAAACACATTGGAGCTCTTTGGGGCCTTGGGGGCCTCTTGGGCGCCCCGTGTGGTCGAAATTCGTTCGGTGGTGGAGGGGTCCCTGGCACTGCAAACATACATAAACGGGGATAGGTATGCTGATCCCTTCGGATTTCGCGGGGCCTATCCCGACCTTGGTGGGTGGACCAGCGGGGCTGAGACGCCGTGGTCCAGTGGGGACGTAGATCGGTGAAGCGGTGCCGATCCTCCAGACCAGCGCAGACGCCGTCCTCGCACAGCGCCTGGCCCCTACAGTCAGAGCACAGTACCTGCGCCGACACACCCGCCTGCACCGCCCAGTCCTTGCCAACCCCCTGGCCCATGCCGCGGAGCGGGCGCGGCTGCGCGCATGCTCGGCTCGGGCCAGCGTCCACGGGCATACACGCCAACGCATGTCTATAGATACGCATGTGAATAGATGCATACCGGCACTTACACAGACGAAGTGTGCGTTATATCCCAGTGAGGGGGCGGTCGCGGGTGGGTCGCGGGTGGGTCGTGGGGCAAGTCGGGGGTGGAACCACGACAACAAACAACAATCAGCAGAATCCGCGCCGCGGAACTCCACTTCAGCCACGCCCCCAGGGACAGTGAATGACCGTTCGGCCCCGATTCTAATACACAAACTGCAATGGCGCTTTGCACAATACCCCTTGGCCCCTCAAGTGTCGCATGCAGACGGGATGAGTTAAGAGAAAGAGAGAAAGAGAGAGAGAGAGAAAACAAACAAAACAAAAACATATAACAGGAGAGGAGAGGAGAGGAGAGGAGAGGAGAGAAGAGGAGAGGAGAGGAGAGCAGAAGCAGAAGCAGAAGCAGAAGCAGAAGCAGAAGCAGAATAGAAAGAAAGAGAGAGAGAGAGAGACAGAGAGAGGACTAAAGAAAGAGAGAAAGAGAGAGGGGGAATAGAGAGAGAGAGAGAAAACAAAAAAAAACATGTATGAGCAATGGTAGGCACGGATCCGCTCGCACAAAACGGCAGTGCCCCACGGCAGGTTCGGGGGGGGCCTGGCCCCTGGGCCTCAAGCACGCATCCCCGGTCGAGCCGGGAAGCGGCCAGGGATGCCCAAGAGGGCTGCGCGGGCAACCAAAGAGTAACCCCATCGCGGCCCAACAGAGTCCAAGACGGCCTCAAGGCTGCCCAGATCGCTTCCAGGTGGCCCAGAGGTGGCCTCAGGGTGGCGCCGGGGTGCTCCCAAAGAGGCCCCAGGATAGCTTTGCACGAGACCTCCGACTGGCAACACACAGCAGATCCATGAGTCTGCTCAAGGTGGTTCGAAAAAAATGCTCCTGAGGCTTCCAAGAGGGCCAGGCCAAAGACGCCCTCACGACCCCCCAAGATGGACGAAGGAAGGTTTGAGATGGTCCAGGGACCCTCGCAAATGGCTCCCAGACCCCACAAAGAGGCCCCGCGAGGCCCGAAGGGGCCCAAAGACGAATCCCAAAGACACTCCGTGGGCCCCAGGGGAGCCCAAGAGCGCCCCCAGAGGGCACTGAGGTAGACCCGAGAGTGCCCTCGGAGGGCCCCGCAGCGGGACAAGCCAGTAATGTCGCGAGCTCCCGAAGCAAAGGCGCTGTCAGTCTACCCGTATGTCTGTCTGGTACTAGAGCTGTCGAAGAGTGCGTCAGGGTCCCTTCCTGTGGTTCCTCCATGCCCACCGACTTCACTGACTGCACGGACCGCCCGTCCGCCTTTTCTGCCTGCTCGTCAGTGCGTGTCGCCGTGCGCGCATGGCAGTTTCACGCACACACACACACACACACACACGCACGCACGCACGCACGCACGCACGCACGCACGCAAGCACGCACACACACACACACACACACACACACACACGCGCGCGCACATACACACACACACAGACACACACACACACACACATACACAGACACAGACACAGACACAGACACAGACACAGACACAGACACAGACACAGACACCCACACACACACACACACACACACACACACACACACACACACACACACGCGCGCGCGCACAGACACAGACACAGGCACACACACGCAAACACAGACACACACCCGTGCACACATACATCTAGGCACGCATGCAAAGATACACGCGCGCATGCAAACGTACATGCATGTAGGCACTCACCGATATGTACATGCATGTGCACACATATTGTATAGGTGATCGCATATATACATGTATGCATAGGTACATATGCCGATCAAATATAGCAACACGGACATGCATACCTATTCGTACATACATGTATACGCGGTCAAGCAACATCGCAGTGGGTAAGCAAAAGGTATGCGACGAAAGGAGTCCTTGTCGACGCTTCTCTTACGGCACACAAGAAGAGAGTACGCGACTCACGCCACGAAACACGTGGGCCGGTGTCGGCTCCCACGGGCCACCCTGGCAGCTCCGGATACGCTTCGCGAGGGCCTCTAGGAAATCCACGCCTCGGCGCCTGCTCCTCCCCCTCCTCGCTCCTCCTCCTCCCCTCACTCCTCCTCCTCCTCCTCCTCCTCCCCTCCTCCTCCTCCTCCCACTCCGCCCCTCCTCCTCCTCCTCCTCTCCTCCCTCCTCCGCCTCCTATCCTCCCCGCGCTCCTCCTCCTCCTCCCCTCCTGCTCCTCCTCATCCTCCTCCTCCTCCTCCTCCTCCTCCTCCTCCTCCTCCCTCCTCCTCCTCCTCCTCCTCCCTCCTCTCTTCCTCCTCCCGACTCCCGCCTCCTCCTCCACTCCCCCTCCTCCTCCTCCTCCTCCTCCTCCTCTCCTCCTCTCCTCCTCCTCCTCTTCCTCCTCCTCCTCCTCCTCCTACCTCCGCCTCCTCCTCCTCCTCCTCCTCCTCCTCCTCCTTCTCCTCCTCCTCCTCCTCCTCCCTCCCTGCCCCCTCCTCCTCCTCCTCCTCCTCCTAATCCTACCCCACTCCCCCCCCTCCTCCCACTCCCCCTCCCCCTCCTCCTCCTCCTCCTCCTCCTCCTCCTCCTCCTCCTACCTCCTCCTCCTCCTCCTCTCCTCCTCCTCCTCCTCCCTCCCACTCCCCTTTTCCTCCTCCTCCTCCGCCTCCTCCTCCTCCTCCTCCCCCCTCCTCCTCCTCCTCCTCCGCCTCCTCCTCCTCCTCCTCCTCCTCTCCTCCTCCTCCTGCCTCCTCCTCCTCCTCCCCCTCCCCCCTCCTCCTCCCTCTCTCCTCCTCCTCCTCCTCCTCCTCCTCCTCCTCCTCCGCCTCCTCCTCCTCGGCGCCTCCGAATGGGCTCCTCATGGCCAGAACGGCTGCCCGCAGCAACCAACTAGCGCTCACGCAGCTCGACAAGAACCCCCGAGAGGCTCCAAACACGCAAAAAGGTGCTGTTGCTTGTTTTGAAGAGGAAGAAGCGCGACCACGAGATCTCGAGGCCTCGGTGGTGACCACAATGCGAGCCAGTGAGACCCCAGGCAAATACGGAACGCAGGCTCCAGAACGCCAAACTTATGTTACCTTGGTATCCTTGTTACGTTTGCGAGACACGCCTGCTTGGTCGCCAAAGTGTCCGAGATGGCCCCAATAGCCTCCAGGGCAGCCCCGGCCGATCCAACAGCGCTGCATCCCGATAGGGCCTCAACCATACCCAAGATGTTCAAAGAGGGGGTCCCGACGAGATCTAGACGCCGCAAGAAAACCCCAAGACGGTTCATGAGGGGTCCACGACGGCCCACAGACGGCCTCAAGAGCCCCAAGACGGCCCGAAAGGGCCCAAGAGGGCCCCAGAAGGCCCCAAGACAGCCCACGAAATCCCCGCGACAGCCCCAAAACAGCCCAACCAGGTCCCCAAGACGTTCCAGGAGCCGCTTGAACCCAATGAGGCCCACATGCCCCGTCAACTCTGTGGCCTACGAGGCCCTATATCAGCCCTTGGGACCACAAACGAGCCGTGTGAGCCCTATGGCCTACGAGCCCCATGCTTCGAAAAAGAAACACGAGCCCTATGAGCCATACCCGCCACGAGCCAAATAGGTCTCGGAAAGCCATGTGGCCAACAAGCCATATGAGCCTCATGGCGCACGAGCCGCCTGAGCCCGATGAATCACACGAGCCCTGCGAATCTACGGCGTCCGCGCCCTACGAGCCCTACGAGGCAACGAACGAGCCCTATGAACCATATTGCTTACGAGCCCCTATGAGCTAAATGAGTCCTAGCCCCATTAGCTTCACGGACCACGAGCGCAGTGAGCTTCCAAACTCCGTGAGGCCAAATACTCCCCAAAGATCGCCTCAAGATCGCATAAGAGGCCTCCAAGATGGCCGTGAAACGGCCCAAGACAGCCCCCAAGACGGCCCCAATAGGGCCCCAAGACAGCCCAAGAGGCCTCCAAGACGCTCAACATGTCCTCCAAGACGGCCCTGGAGCAACCCAAGAGGGCCCCTAATCAGCCCAGAGATGCCCCCACGGCTTCGGACGGCGCCAGACGTACCCAGAATGTCCTAAGACTGCCAAAAAGGCCCACGAGAAGCCCACAAAGGCCCCCAAGAGGACCAAGGAGGCCCCCTGACATGCCTCCAAGAGGCTCCCTGGAAGCTCCCAGGAGGCCCCGTAGAGTGCCCCCAGAGGCTACCAATATGCGCCCTCCTCTCCTCCTCCTCTTCCTCCTCCTCCTCCTCTTCCTCCTCCTCCTTCTCCTCCTCCTCCTCCGCCTCCTCCTGATCTTCCCCACCATCCTCCCCCAAGTGTTCCTCGAAGGGCTTCCACAACGGCTGGGGAAACACATGGTCCGATAGCTTAGCAGAGCTCTTGCCACAACGCTCGACCACATGGGCGATAAAGGCAGGGAGCGGCGGTGACTCGCCGAAGGCGTCTTCGACATACACGGGGATCGGTCCAGTATGAAGATATAGGTGTGGGCCTAGAGTATATCAAGTTGGGAGGACACACAATGAACCTGTAAAACTGTGACCAGCCGTCTGCAGGTACAAACGGAGGGGGCATGGGTGCAGCAGTCGGTGTTGCCCTTGACTTCGCGTTGGGACTGGCGACCTGTAGGCAATGGTAACGATGATAACTCTTGCAATGGTAGGGCATTCTAGAGATTCCTTCTTGTGGGAGGGGCATCCGACGAGCAACGCACCACAGATCACCTCACGGTGGTATGCAGGATTCTGAAAAACAGTCTCCTCACTCTAGAGCTCCTCAATATGAACTGCTCGGCGTATTCTGTTACGTCGTCACAGGGTTAAACACCCAAGGTTTCCCCAAACTACCTGAATCGGTTATTCCAGTCGTCGTCGTCACCGTCATCGTCGTCCGTCAGCGCCATCGTCGCCGCGAGCGTCGTCATCGGGAGGTCGTGGTCGTGGTCGTCCGTCGCCTTCGCCGCCGCCACCGTCGCTGGTCACCGCCGCCGCC